TACAAATACAATATAGATCATCAAAATTGTCCCCAAAGCTAACGGAAGATCGACATGATAAAATTGGTAGGCTTATGATTGGTTACACTATATGGTTGAACTATCTGTTGCACCAAAAAGCGCAAAGTTATTAATTTCTCTTAATTTCGAAAAGAGAGGCACAGCTGGGAACAGAATCTGATGATTTGAATGCTTGCGTAAAATGACGGATTTTAGTAAAAACGGATAATGTAGTAGATGGTAACCGGGGCCTTCTTGGTGAAATAAAAGGAGTTTTTTGTTAATCACAATTAATCAAATTAAAATAAAATTAATAAATTTTATATTTTACCTAATTTATTATGAATTATTATTACTATTAGTCTATCTTACAGCAATTTCAAATAAAAAATAATTGTGTTTAAGATAGTTAGAAAAAAACTAATTTCAAATCCTGTAACTTTAAAACTATGCATTTCCATATCCATGTTTATGGAAACTTTTTTCATATTTTTTGATGAGGAATCAAAGAGTAGGTACCTACTTATTTAAAACTTTCGCAAGTTAATAATATTATTTCTTTAAGGGTTAGTATTGGACTTGGATCAAGGCAACTTAATAAAATTGCGTTTATCTCATCAAGGAGGCCGAAATCAACAAAATATCAAGAGGCAACTTTTAATCGGCATTAAACTGCTTACATTATTTCGCTAACAAGAAAAAAAAGGTCAGTGGCGTACATGTTTTTTTTTAGAAAAATACTCCAGTGATAATCCGTCCCTGGTGAATATTTCGACAATTTTTTAGCTTTAAAATATGTCGCATTATAATAATAGTAACTTTTACCCTCAAAATTTTAAATAAATTAAATTAAATTAGTGTTGTCAGTAAATGAGAATTAATGAGAATATTTACAGTCGAATAATATCCATTATCTATGATTCTTACAACAGTTACTTCAAATAGTATTTTAAATTATTAAAACCGTTACTGTCGCACAGTTTTGTTTGTTTTAATTATGACCAGAAACATTTACACATAGCACATAATTGGGATTTGTGATAAAACACGCAACTAAATCTCCATTATTATAATTAGTAGTTAGCGGTAAGTTGAAGATTGCGTCTCTTAAGTGTTTTTTAATAGTTCATAATTCATAAATACAATGCGTGCTGCAGTGGCATAGAAGTCGTTTTGAATATAAAGATGAAAGATGCGAGATGTCGACAATTTTTATGTTGTAAGCATTGTTACTGAGAGTACCTATTAAAAGGATGTTACAATAAATAAAAAAAATAAAATTTTAACCCCCTGTAGCTACGAAACAAAGCAAAATCGGACGCAAAATCGGTTTTTTTTAAATACCCTGTACATTGATACATAATTTTGTATTCACCCTTTACTTTTAATTAGCTCTGAAGGTGTTTGCAAAGATAGTTAAATAAATAGATTAATACAAGGTCCGGCAATACTGCGTTGGGCATCTGTAGCTCCTAGAATAAAAAAGTTAGGAATTTTAAGTGCAGACCTAATATATGTACGAGGATGTATTTCAGAAAAATATTTTAACTTCTACAAGGTGTGAGTGGATAGGGATGTAAATGGAATACCCTGTATATTATTGCATTTTTCGTTTCCATTTTGATCGCTTTACATAATCTACTAAGGTATTATTCAATATCTTTTGATAGTTTCAAAGATATACATAAATAAGTAAAAAATACATTTTTTAAACTTTTTTCAAAAAATTATTAAAAATACAAGAAATGTCCTGAAATCAAAACTATATTAGGTATTTACTGTAGTGGGTATGTACTTACTTTGCTACAAATATCGTAATATTTAACCATACAGGGTGTTCAATATTGTAAGCCAAACTTTTTAAAATATAAAATAGTTTTTCTTCGTTTTTTTTTAATAGAACATCCTGTATATTATTTCTTTATTGGATGGAGAATTAAAAAATGAACATTTTTTGTATTTAAAGTATTTTAAATTTTCACCGGTTTCGAAAATATTCGCGGGTTTATTACATATGGCTCTTTCAACGGTAAAATACCAGAGAAAAATCAATGGGTGGCTTTGATAAAAAATTACTGTTGAAAACCCCATATGTAGTATAATACCACGAATATCCGAAAAACCCTTAGAAATTCTGAAATACTTTAAATAAAAAAGTGTTCATTTTTTAATTCTCCATCTTTTAAAAAAATAATATACAGGGTGTTCCATTTAAAAAACGAGGAAAAACCATTTTATATTTTAAAAAGTTTGGCATACAATTTTGAACACCCTGTATGGTTAAAGATTACGATATTTGTAGCAACGTAAGTACAGACCCACTACACTAAATACATAATATAGTTTTGATTTTAGGACATTTCTTTTAATTTTAGGACATTTGTTTTTAATAATTTTTAGAAAAAAAGCCGAAAAAAAATGTTTTTACTTATTTAATAATATCCTTGAAACTATCAATAATATACAGGGCGATCCTATAAAAAATCATCCTCATCCACTCACACTTTTTTGAGTCACTCTATAGAGGTTTAAATATTTTCCTGAAATACATCCTAATACGACGTACTTTAGGTTCGCACTTAAACCAAATTCCTAACTTTTTTATTATAGGAGCTACAGATGCCCAACGCACTATTACCGGACCCTGTATATCGATATCCGAGTCGATACCTTTACCAAACATCGATATTCGTCAAGCATCACTAGTAATCACCATTAACAATATCCGTTTGAAATAAAACAGTCTTTAATTACCGTAAATATGGATATTATTTACGGAGCAAGAGGCGATAAAAGGTTTTCCGCAAAAATAAACACTGGATAGCGGCGGGAAACTCCCCGGGAGCAATTGCCAACTTCGTCGCTTATTTGCTTGCCGGTAATGAACGTTGTGCTTTTACGATCCTTATCTCTACGAGTGTGTTTATCGACTTGTACCTTAGCGAATAAAGCTTGGGGCAGTCGGTACAGATGCGCAAAAATTTACGTACTAAAATTGTTTTTTTTTTTCTTTCTTTGTGAGTGAGCCTTGAGAGAGCAGTCGTTATAGAGGACCACGGAAATCATCCCCTTTTAGGACAACTCTATCCACCAGAAATAGTGATGAGACAGACTGATCTTGGTCTTGCATAAAAAGCAGTGCAAGACTTCCGCAAGGCCAAGACCAAGTATGCAAAACTCTTTCAGTTTTGCATTTTTTATTCATATATGTGCTATGTTATTCATAATACTACTATGAACTGTTTCGCTTACTCTCTTCTGCTAATTTTTTCCACCATTTTAGAGATTTGTGGAGATAGAGTAGTATTTTGTAAACTCTACTTTTTTTAATTTTCTTGTTTGCTTTCTATAAGCGAATGTGATACTTATCAGAGAAAAAACAAAAAGTGACAAAACCATATAAACAATATTATATTAGTTAACAAATCATGGCAAAATTTGTCAATAATGAACTGCATAAGCTTACATTTATAATTTAATTCTATAAATACTTATTGATTTTATACGACGAGTAAAGGTAAAGATTAATTGAATTAGTTATGTCGTCCTTGACCAATATGTTCACGTCTTTCAGATCAAACGTTGTTTATTTCATCTTATTCATGAGCCGTGCCCAGATATAAATTAAAAAATAATTAATATGCAATATTTGCACGAGGGTAAGATAAAAAACAAACTGTTGTTTCGAATATAGTATATGGCAAATAAAAAGTTTATTTTTTAGTTTCCGGAATACAGTTTGGACCACCCTGTATAAAAGAAAAATATGGAATATAATTTCATATATAAATCAGTTTAACATCTAGTTTTATACCAAAAGAAAAAAAACGTAATCTATATAATTACGATATAATTCTAATAATAAACTAGATGCTAATTACAGAACCTGTACCGCTGGACCTAGATTTCGCAAGCACCACAACAACTACTTCTTTGTTTTACGCAATAGACTTTAATTGTATCGAAGGTGAGTCATAGGATCTACTGCAGTATTTTAAAGAACAACAGTGCCAAACAAGAGACTTCCTGAACGGAACTTGGTGTTTTTATAATTCGAAACAAAAGCTAAACAGCTGCTACTAAAACAAACGATCGATGGATGTAGGTAGCTTTAATAGGTCGTAATCGGGGGATAATGACACTAATGAAGATTTTTAGGATGCACGTAGGAAATAAGACGTTTTATAGAACAGTATTCAGTAGGAAATGTAGAAAATAAATACTTCAAAATATCAAATTTAAGTTTAAGACTAGCTCAGGCATCTATTTGTATTTAATAGCATTATTTCATAATATAGGGTGAGTTTCCTACGATGTTCTCTATGGGTATCTCGGAAACTACTGGAGATAGAGAGTCGGTTTAATGGGGAAAGAATTGCAATTTTGTGGGGACATAAATAGCGCCTTTCAGATTTTTAAAAACGTTCATGGCTTACTAGATATTTCGAAAAAAAAAACAAATATTGGCTATTTTGAAAATTGTCCATAATTCCATTATAATCTATTTTATATAGACCAAAAATTTTCAGATAAAAGCTGTAGCTAATCACATCCCCAATGAGTTTGTGTTCTCCGATTTTTTCTAAAGCCTGTCATTTTTGACATATGACACAAACATATGTTTTTTTAAATGGAAACCATAGTTGGCCATGACTTCATAAAAAGCGCCATTTTTTAAGCTTTTCAGCGATATAAGCTATAATATGTTTTTTCGAAAAATTACTCAGTTATATTCAATTCTTATCTTTCTTGACTAATTTCACTTAGTTGGCATGGTGTTCTTATTTTTTTATGATTTATAACGAGATACCCATGAGAACATCGTAGGAAACTCACCCTGTATAAAAATAACTACCGATAATCCAATAATCCCCCATCAGTTCCCCCATAATCCCCAATTTAGTTCTGTATACGTTCGCCGTAACCAGATATCAAGTGCTGATATCGTAATTAATTTATTAACTCTTTAAAGATAACACAAAAACACAATTTCGACTTACCGTCATCCTCCAAATCATCCTCGTGAGTAGCGCTGCACTCCCTACAAACAGCTCCGCGCTGCTGTCCCCTACTCATCAACTCCATATCCTTATACCCCTCGGGCGGACTCAGAGTCACGGCATCGACAAACTCGATCGGAGGCGCGAATTTAGGACTTTGAGGTGTGGGTTCGAAACCCTCGTAGCCTCCTCCCTGGCAGCTGCAGTTGGGCTCGCAACAAGTGAGCCGCACCATCTCGTGCTGGTTGCACGTGCACACGCCATCCTCGTCGTCCTCGTCGTAGTCGCACTCCTCGCGAATGAGAATGATATAGTCGGCGTCGAAGAATTCGTTCTTGTTCTCGTTGAACACGACCCGATTCGACTTTTTGTCTTTGGACGAACGGCCCGGTTTCTTGAGGAGGGACTTGAGGTTGTCCCGGTCGGGGTTGTGCTTGGAACGGTCGGAGGTGTCGTTGACCATGTTGGCACCGTCACCACGCATTCTCCTGAAACGAATGTATAAGATTACATTAAAAAAAATTGACGTTATTAAGATCGTTAATATGTGCAAAAAAACTAACATGGGACGACAGATACTGAGAAGGTATATTTGCTCATATCATTTGGTAAAACAAATTTGGTAAAAAAACTAGGTTGTCACTCAAACATTATTTAAGGTAAAGAGAGAGATATATGAATTAGGGACGCGTCAGCAACTGAGGTTTTTTAGCGTCCGCCTATTGTGCACTTCCCTGGAAAATCACAACAAATGCTATAAAAATCGGAGAACAGTTGGAATATGTGCGGAATTCAATTACCTTGGCAGTTTGATTTCGGAAAAGGCCAATATCGACTCTGAAATACATCACAGAATTAGCGGCGCCTCAAGAGCATTCTGGAAATTAAAAGACAGGGTTTTCTACAATCATGATTTGAGCACAAAAACGAAACTTGTAGTGTAACGAGCAATAACAATCCCCACCATGTTATATAGAAGCGAGAGCTGGGTGCCCTACCGCCGACACATGAACACATCAAACATGTTGCAACAGAAACACCTTACGCAACTGTTAAGAATCAGATGGTACCACCATATCTCAAGCGTATCGATCCTTAAAAACGCTAGATGCGAGAGCGCTGAGATGGTGATTACTAATCCCCCGCTTAAGATGGGCTGTTCACGTATGCAGGATGCAAGAATACCGCCTACCGAAATCTCTTCTTCACGGGGAGCTTGTAGACAGTAAGAGGAGTCGGGGTGGACAGCTCAAAAGGTACAAAGATATTTTCTTGCCTTGATTTAAGTAAGAACAGTCTTAGGATTGCCACGGTTTTTTTAACAAGACAACGTCTCCGCAATCAGTAGATTGAAGCTAAGAAACAACGGCGAATGCAGATTCTGCAGGGGACATGCGGAAACACCAGAACACCTCATCACTGAATACGGCAACCATTGGTGCCACAAACTTTGGTACGAATGTAACGGAGATGGAGAACAAAGAACAAACCTCTGTAAAACCGTCTCAGATAGTAGCTTTCATCAAAGCCCTGAAACTGTGTGATGAGATATCTCAAGAAAGGGGGCACAATAGATATGTAAGAATTATCATCAATTTTTCTTTTCTTCAATAAAGAACGAGTTTGGACTATGTCAATTGGCAATAAAACTAACTTGACAGGTAGGTTACCATCCATCAGGATTTGTGCGGACATGTTCGGACTTTAAACCTTTGTCCGGAATTTTGACGATGTGGAAAAAAATTGAATGAATGTTTAATTTTTTACTTAATAAAATAAAATCATAGTAAACTACACACGACAAGTTTAACTGATGGTTAATCAGTCCATATGTCAACCTAAAACAATCAACTTCTAGTTCAAATATACAGGGTGGTCCGAATTGTTTTCCGGAAACTTCGGCAGCATATTCTGCAGATAAAAATAATTAAAAAAGTTCGTATAAATGTATGTCCTAAAATGCTTAGTTTCGGAGATACAGAATGTAGAAGTATCATTTTTATTTCGATTTTTTTCCAAATAATTTCTGAAGTAACATCAATAGTTGGATGAAAATTGGTATCTGGGAGTTTTTTGACATGAGAAATTTGATTTTGATGTAAATATGACTCCTATTGGTAGGGGGCGCCACCTACATCTGTTTTAACTGTTTTGAAGAGTAATAACTTTTCGTCCGTACATGGTCCGTACCTTGTCGTTCTTGCAAAAAAGGCCAGTATCCCCAAGTATGAATCCAAATCTTTGATTTGAAACAATTTAAAAAAAAAGAATCTGTAAGGAAATGAGAAAACGGTCCTACTAGAAGCCAAAACGAGCTGGAACCTCTACAAAATCTTCAGCACAAACAGCTAAAATCCTTTTGAATCTAATTGGAGAAAATGATGAAAGAATGATTTCTATATGTCAAAAAAACTATTACAGCAAGTACTTTTAGTTTCATTTAACATATCTCAATAACTTTTTAAGAATGTAAAAACATTAATTATCTAGAATAAGTATGTAATTAAATCGAAGTTTCATAAAACCTGAATCTAAATTGAAAGTTAATCGTTAACACATTAAAATTAAAGGAAATTACAAAACTAAATTATGAAATTCTTTGACACACTAACGAAATATATTTCTTGTGCGTAACTAAATATAAATATTTACCTTATTACAATAAAGTGATCATCGTCGTCACACTGACTGCACGATCCATCCGAAGAAGAGTCTTCCAGAAACTCATCGTAGTACCCAGCAGGTGGCTGTTCAACAAACTCGGCAAAATTATTGACGTCAAACTGACAGAACCCGTCTAATCCCTCAGGAAAAAAATCTTCTTCATTCAGAAAATTCTCAATAATATTTTGATTCGAATCGAGACTAGATTTGACGTCTTGATTTTGAAATTCACTGTATTCGATTACTTTTGAAGGTTGTTTGTCTTTATCGCCTTCTACTTTTGAATGGGTTTCAAGATTATTGTTGCTTGAATTGTGCGCATGTTCGAAATAATGTTTTTTAGTAAAATTGTTATTAATGCTACTGTCTTGACTATTCAAATCCCTTTGGTTTTCCTGTTTAGATTCTGTTTTTTTGACACAATCACAGATACATTCTTTATTCTCTAAGTATTTACAGTTACAACATTGACTAGATAAGTCTTTTACTTGGTTAGAACCAGGTACTTTGGTAGGTTGAATTAATTTTGAGTTCTCGTCAGTGATGCCTGCTTTTTTTAGTTTATCTTCCAGGTACTTCAATCTTGACTTTCCGTCTTCAAGCTTTTTGTTTATATCTTTGCTATAAAGGATATCTTTTTCTTCTGGACCTGTTTGTTTGGATTGTTCACCTAAGCAAAGACGGTTGAGTAAATGTTTACAAATGTACTCGTCGTAACTACCTGCGGTGAGACGCTGAATGGAGGTTCCCGCGGAGTCAACCACTTGTTCCAATTGAAGCCTTGAGTCGCCAAGGTCACTTTTACTCTCGGCAAACACCAATCTGCCGTTCCTGAAGCCCCAACTCAAGTGTTGACGTTCTCCGTCGGCGTTTCGCAGTTCCGAAGCACGAGTTTCAGTGTCAGTCCGCTGCGGACTCGGGTACCGTACCGATTCGCGCTCGACGGTTCGATTTTCCGAAGGGTTTTGTGTGAGAAAACAGTGAGCAGGAGGGCAATAATCCTGCGGGGGCGTGCGACACACGGGAGCGTCGCAGGCGGCGACGTCGGCGACGGTTTCGCGACTGCAGCCCGGCGCCTGTGCGCGCTCTGATCCGACAGTGGCGTCGATCGATGCCGGAGGAGGCGCGCTAGGCGCTCCGTCGTGGGCCGTTTGCCCGATGCCGGCACCGCCACAAGGAGAAGAGTTGAGGAGACACGTTCCAGCAGGATTAAGAGGGTCCGGGGAGGTTGAACCGCGGCCGCCACGTTCACTACCGAGGTCAAGGTTTGCAGCGCTTGTTGAAACCGATTCAGTTTGAGGTTTAGATTCACTAGAATCAGTGCTTTCTCTTTTGAGTGTATTTATTTGCAAAGCGTCTTTTTCTATCACTGCTTCATCTTTGTTTTTAACATTTTCTTCAGTTGTGTTTTTTGGAAACGAATTATTACGATAATCTACATCCAAAGATGTAACAGGATCATTATTACTACTACGTTCCAAATAGTTTTGTCTAAACCCTTTTTTGCAACAACTGGATTTACTGTCACTTTGTTTCAAAGAATCCTGGTTTATATTTCCGTCTATATTATGACCAGAATAGCTTCTACAATTATCTGTCTCATCTTTAGTTATATTATCAAAATTATGAATACATTTGTTACACTCATTATCATCCACTTCTAAACAAGTGGTCCCAATAGAAGGTTTACTAAACTCATTATTACGTTTTTCAGCTGTATCATCACCAGTATTTGTGTTATTTACACCATATATTTGTTTTAAATTATTACTGATTTTATTATTGTCAGACGAACAGTGACAAACTCTATCTTTAAACATAGATTGATGATTTATCTCGCTATCTTTATAAGCACTAATATAATCAACTTGTGATCCACTTTCTTTTAAAGAATTTCTACTTCCTTCTCCAACACAACTCTCAGCTTTTACAAAATGACTACATCCTTCATTACTGCAATCGAGGATATTTTGCCTTGCAGTTTTATCACTATTCATTTCTGTTAAAGAACCATAATTTATTTCGGTTGCTTTAAAATCGTCTTCATGGTTTTGTAGGATATCATCTTTAGAAAGAGTATTATAATCGTTGGGACTGTTTCTTCTGATCAAATCATCACTGAAAGTATGTAAATTTTCTACCAAATCAAACACATTCTTGTCATTTTCTTTGACAACGTTACTCTCTTCAACTACACCACAATATTTTGTTATATCTGGTTGTTCTAAGTTATTAATGTTAATCTGCGTGTTGTCATCGATATTTTCAATTTGTTTTAATATTTTAATAGATATTTCTGTACAAGTATCTTCAATAAAACTTACTTCACTAACTGTCGAACCGCCATTTTTTACGTTTTTCTCCGCGTTTGTACCGCACTCCACGCCCGCACTTTTATCGCTACTGTCAATTAACGAAACTTCGACAACCCGGTCTTCGTATTTCCTTTGTTCTGCTTCACTACGCTCACTAAATCCCATGTTTACGCCAAGTTCGTTCGAGTTTTGCAAGCCATTGTTTAAATGTTTCGTCTCGCGCGTGGCCTTAATCCCACTATCGACTACTGTGACTCCCACCTTGTTTATATCTCGACAAATTTTCGTCGTACAATTGTTTTCCGATGTGTAATTTTTTAAACAGTCCTTGCAGAAATCTGTTAAGTTCGAATCCCGATTTTTACACACGCAATTTGTTCGTAAGAAAGAGTTGGCGTCAAGAGTTTGCATTTCGATAAAATCCACTTCTTTGGGGTTTCCAATTTCTTGGATTATACCAGGGGAAGTGTCCATTACTTTCTCCGGATTGTTTTTCTGATGTTCGGCTTCCATTTTCGTGATTGTATAATATGGTTTAAGAAATTCTGTTGTGGAATTACATAGTCGTTCTGAAATATAAAAAGAAATCATTTCTAAACCAAATACGACATCATAAAAATTTGATCTGACAAAATAATTAATATTTAGTTACTCCAAAAATAGTTTAATATTAAAAGCAATTTTTATGTGACAATTAAGATAAAAATATTTGTAATAAATCTTAGAACCTAGATATTTATTCAAGACGATGTCACAGAAAAAGATCAGAATTATTGTGGGAGTAAAATAAATAGAAGTGTCAAATGAAACGATTAGCTATGATTACCATACTATTGAAAAAAGAACGGCGTCTGAGATGGTTAAGAAATAAAGATCGGTATCATCTTATATGTAAAATTATTTTATTTGATGATTGTTTCAAAAATATATAATTTGAATTTTGGTGTTATCTATATTTTTTCCTAATTAAAATTCTTGAGATGCAGGAAAACATAACTATTTTATGATGAGTTTAAAATGAAAGAAAAATGTATGTATTTTCTTTATTTAAACGTTTTCTCATACAGTAAGATAGAGATGAGCAAAAAATAGCAAACTGCGATTAAATCGCAACGATTTTAAAATCGCAATCGCAACCTGCGATTGGCTCTCATAAGAAACTACGATTGTGATTTCTTCTGTTTGCGAGTTTCAATTTAAGCAACCAATATTACTACAGTTGCGATTTGCGATTTTCTACGATTTGCGATTTTGCTGCGATTGTGATTTTGTAAACTAGGACCTTGATATAACCTTATATATATATGCGAGTTTAAATTTTTAGGAGTTGCAATTTGCTATATTGTTGCGAATGTAATTTTGTGGTCTATTGAAGAAATTTATAGTAAACTGCGATTGAATTTTCTCCCTGATATTATTTATTTATAGAGAAGATATTATTTTTCAAGACTGGTTTACCCCTATAACTTTTTTATTTTTTTTTTGCTAAAAATCGAGATTTGGTCTGTTAGTACATGACATAAATTAGGATTAATTGACGTATTCAATTGTTTTTGGCCACTTCCTGTTTCACCGAAAATGACTACAACTTTTGATGTATAAATGGCACCCTTGGTATTTTTTTTAATTTATTCTTTAGAAAATAACACTCCAGACAGTAGAATGGCGTATCATATGGCAATTTATGACATTTTCGCTTAAAAATCGTATTTTAAATTTCAATCTAGAATGGCTGTGTTAAAAATACTAATTTTTAATAAAGATGCTTGGAAAAATTGATTTTATCGTCTAATGTTTTTAGTGTCTTGTCCTGGCCGGTTAAAAGATGCATAAATCGTATTTTTAATCATATCTTAATTTTTTCAAATGGAACGAGGGTGGCTCATTAGCATATTTAGAAAATCCATATTTTACGAAGGGTGAGGGGTGAGCCATTAAAAAAAAAACAATTTTTGAGATTTTTTAATAATTGAATAAAGAATTAGATAATTGGGAACCGTAAAAAGAGTAGGTAGATATGTGTAGTTGCTGCATATATAAAGTTTTAATATTATCTATAATGTGTTGCAGATGTTAAAAAGCCTTAAAAACTAAACCACTGGTTATTATTAACTTTTTTGAATTGTTAAGCTATAGATAAATACATGACAATTATATACCTAATACAATATTTAAATATTAAAATTGCAATCGCAGCTTACAGTCGCTGCGATTTAAAAATCGTAATTGCAGCTTCAATTGCGATTGGAGAATCGCAGTTTTGCTCATCTCTACAGTAAGCACGATTAAAAGAAAATCTTACTGCTCTTTTCCGGATACACATCCATAAATCTTAAAATGGCATTTTCATTACAGCCACTTAACCTGTTCTCCTCAGCTAAACTGCAATTTCCCCGATCGGAAAACGACTTTTCGCCGTACCCAGAATCCCTTTCACCAACATTATCGCACTCTCTACAACCGATACCGTCCGAGTTTCTATCAGTACGACCTGCAGCAGCATCCGAACCGCCGATATAGTCGACACGCACTTTCACTGGGTCCCGGTCACTGTTTTCCTTCGCAGTGAAGACGTCGTTGTTAAATCCCACCGATGCAAAACAACTTCCTGCCGACTGGTTTCTACCGCTATCTTGTCGTATTTTTACGCCGAACTCGTCGATGATTCTGCTGGCGTCTAGTACTATCGGCCAGTCGTCGGTCGAAGCGGAAGATGAGGTTGGATAAGTGAGACCGTCTGGGTTGGTAGTTGATGGCTTCTGTGGGAACTAGAAAGAAAAAAGAAAAGAATATAGTATTAGATTCACGTTATTAAAATCAAGTGTTTGAATATTCAGAAAAAAGGATGAGAAAGGAAGTAATTGAAAAGTAAATCAACCATCTTTTATAATTTCTAAGAATTTTACATTGAAGCTTGATTTATAAAGTTAAAGCCCAGGAAAGGTCAGTTCAGATATGCATTGATTAAATTCGGAGTTTGGTGCATGTGACAGTTGAAACTGCAGCCAATGAGTAGGACCGTCTATCGTTCAAAAGAAAGAAGTACGCGAAAAGATACGTTGGATTGGTACAATGGAAAATGACCCTCATTGATATTTTATTATTTACTCTTAGTAGACTAGACTTTAGATACTCTCTTTGTAGTTGGGCTCATTGTTGTCTATTGGTGGCTATGCGGGTCCAAATTATCCCTACTATTTTTCTAATATCATGGTCCCATCTCATGTTTGGTTTTCCTCTAGGTCTCTTGATTCCTCGTAGATACCATGCTGTCATTTTTGTGGTACATCTGTTGTCTGTCCTTCTTGCCCATTGCCACTTGAGGGATTTGATTCTGTGGAGGACATCTACCGTGTGGTCGTAGTTGGCTGGGAAATGACGATCGATAACATTTTCCATATAAATTTACATATAAAATGACAGCGATCTTCATTTCATAGCCATCGCTGACGCCGTTTTTTCTCGATCATACGGTATTACCTGGGTCTTTTGTCGTATCCACTCCATTCTTTTACGGTCTCTCTGGGGTATTTCCTGCATATTTCGTTCCATTGAACGTTGTGCGACCTGCAGTTTCCTTATAATGTCTATTTTAAGTGCCCAGATTTCGCATGCATAGGTCATGACTGGTAGTACACATTGGTCAAATGTTCTCTTCTTTAGATAAAGCGGCATTCTAGACTTGAATGTGATTGATTTTCTTCCATGAGTACCCCATGCGAACTTAGTTCTTCTGTTAATTTCTGGTAGTAGAGATCCCGAGCTGTGTATTATTTGCCCGAAATATATATATTCTTCTACTATTTCCAGTGTTCCAATAATACGTTCCAGAATACTTGCGCAAGTCTAAGTTTGCTCAAGTATGGGCCTGACATTAGAACTGGCAAGTATTCTGTGCTGCCTTCGATTATATTTAAACTGAGAAAACAACGTTCGAAAGGTTAACAATTACAAAGCTAACCCAACAACTTAAAATAGAGATGCTATATGGACACCTGTACTGATGCTATATGGTTGGAACTATGGTAAAAGTACTGTTCAATATGAATCTTTTTTTCGTTTCTGTTTTAACTTCAAAATAAAAATTGATGAGAAGGTCAGTAGGCTGTAACTAAGATGCTACTTTTAAGCCAAAAGTTTCAATCAACTGTATTGCTAATTATTTCCCCAGTGTCTAGAACTCTTATAGCGCTTTCAGATGGAGCGGACCGTCCGGGCGGAGCGTCCGCGATAAAATGGTTGAATAAGCTTGAGAATGAGGATGATTTTGATTTAGTGGCATATTGCCAGGTAAATTTCTCAAACTTGGCTATTAAGATGTTTTCCATATTTTAGGAATAAACAAGTGATTTTTGAATAAATATTTGAAATGATAATCACAAAAGATTAATAAAAGATACACACAAAATATAAATACAAGAAGACACAAACGTCATATTTGTAGTTGAAATATTGGCGTGATAAAGACTACTTCCTAATGGCTGGAAATGGAGAAATATACACTCGGTCGGCCTGGAATTTAATAAAGCTTTTACGAGGAGCTCTGATAGTTTACGTGAACATTAACAAATATGAGTATTTCAGGATTTTATCGGGGCGCTTAATTTTTATTGCCGGCCCTGACCGTCGAGTGCTTATTTCGAATGCTCTACAGAATTTATTATCGTTCATCAGCTGCAGTGGCATTGAAAAAGGAAATTAAAAGAGTAAATAAGAAAACAGCAAATGATATAATAATTCCTTGTTATACGACGATTTTTATTTTATTTTTGTAGTTAGATTTAAGTATTTTTCTTGCAGTAATGTAACTTTAGTTTTAGTAAGCAGGAGCAGGTTCTAGATTATTTTTTGAGCGAACCCAATTTTGCAAGAATGGAATTTTTAAAAAGTTACATGTTGATAGTTTTAGCAAGCAGACGCAGTTCTAGATTATTTATTGAGGGAAGCCAATTTTGGAAGAATGGAATTTTTAAAAAGTTAAATGTTGAAGTATCGTCTCCTTTTTGCTGCTAGGACTAATCTGGAGATCCAAGCCCCCTCAAATCCACCTGTAGAGCTACTCCACTTATTGATTTAGAATATAGAATGTTTAGTAGGGGATACAATCACCGCGACCTTACAGATCTATTGTGTTCCCCTTTCTTGAGTTATAACGAATTATAACTCATCATACAGTCTCAGGGCTTCAATAAAAATCAGTATCTGAGACGGCCCTACAGAGGCCAGCTCTCCATCTCCTGGAGGCACGAACGGTCGTCGTCTCGGCGCACTCAGTGATAAGGCGTTTAGTTAGGTTAGGTGTGGTATTTCCCCATTTTCCCCACAAAATCTGCATTCGCCGTTGTTTCTCAGCTTCAGCCTACTGAGGTGTTCGTTGAGGAGACAGTGTCCTGTTAGAAACTGTGACAAACCATAGATTGTTTTTACTTAAAACAAGAAAAATCTTTGATTTTTTTCGGTCGTAAGTTCTTAGGAACTTTTTCAAGTGTCTTAGACCGTTGTAGGACGCCCATTCCAGGTTACGGATGGAGTCTTGAGTTCCGCCTTTCAATTACTGATTCAGTTCTTATCCACAATTCACACAGTTCCACCTACATACTTAATTTTTTTTTTTGGAAAAACAAACTGTTTCCAAAATTTTAATTTCTCGAAATAAGATGTACGAGGGTGGTATGAAAAGTTTCCGACTTAACAAAGATACAAGACATTTTTTTGAATAGTTTTTTTTTTTATTTTTCAACATAATCCCCTTGTAACTCTACACACTTTTCCCAGCGATGCTCCCATCTCTGTAACCCGTCCAAACAGTACTCGGCGTTTTTCTCTGCAAACTAGTGGTTCACGAAGGTGATTGCCTCTTCATTTGACGAAAATCTCTCTCCTCCGAGCGCAATTTTTAAGCGGGGGAACAAAAAGAAGTCGCTTGGGGCTGGATCTGGTGAGTAAGGCGGATGGTCAAGCAGTTTAAACCGTAATTCGTGGATTTTCGCCATGGTAACCGCTGAGGTTTGAGACGGTGCGTTATCTTGGTGAAACAGGATTTTCTTTTTCTGTAAATGTGGCCGTTTTCCCGCAAATTCTGCTCTTAGCTTGTCAAGTAATGATGCGTAGTATGCTCCTGTGATGGTTTTTCCTTTTTGAAGATAATCAATTAAAATAACTCCATGACTATCCCAAAAAATAATCGCCATCACTTTCCCAGCCTAAATAACAGTTTTTGCTTTTTTTTAGAGTCGGTTAGGTTGTTGGTCTGTATTTTTGTTTCTGGCATATAGTGGTGTATCCAAGTTTCATCTACAGTAATTAATCGACGCCAAAACTCGGATTTATTGCGCCTAAACTGCGTCAACATAGCGTTGGAAATGTTCATTCGAACACGCTTTTGGTCTAACATGAGCAAACGCGGCGCTCAACGCGCGGACAGCTTTCTCATGCCTAAATCTTGATTTAATATGTGAACAACACGTTCTTTTGATATGTTCATAACTTCTGCTAACTCTCTTAACTTCGTTAACTTTAATTCGGCGGTCGTCTAGCACCATTTGGTGAAGTTTGGCGATGTTTTCGTCGGTAGTTGCAGTTTTTTGACGTCCCGAACGTTCATCGTCTCCCAAGCTCTTACGGCCACGTTTAAATTCAGCTGCCCAAAATTTCACTGTGGTAAATGATGGTGCAGAGTCCCCATATACAGAATCCAATTCATGTTTAATTTGTGTAAGCGTATTGCCTTTCAAAACCAGATATTTAATGACAGCTCGATACTCAATTTTGTCCATTTTCACAAAGACACTCACATCAACTCACTCAACCGACTGTTACATAACAAATGCGCATCCAAAATGGAATGAAACTTTGGTGAATAACTGTCAACAGATGAGCAATGAAAATTCACTAGCTTATCACGTCATCTGCACATTGAGATCGGAAACTTTTCAGACCACCCTCAGTATGCTAATTTTTGTAAAAGTACCAACTGTTTCCAAATATCTATAGAAGGTAAAGAAATTGCACTTTCGTTAGTTTCTTTTTGCATTAAACGTACAGTAAATTATTTTAAATAAACCCATTAATTCCTAAAATCAATGCATAAATTAGATTTTCTTCCTTTAGAATTGCTAATGCACATTGATGGTTTAATAGAAGTAACATGCTTTGTTAAAACAGTTGGCGAATAGCGAAAGGACTGGACTCTACATCTTTTCCTAGAATCTGCAGTGTTTAAATAATTAATTATCTATTGGAATACAATATGTTATTTCTGTGTATTCTCAAATATATTATTCTTATTATTTTTTCCAACAATTAAGTTTTTTTCAAGCACCTTTTAATGTATATTATTTTTACAATATTGGTATTTGATATTATACTCTTATGTACTTAGTAATAATCACAAAGTTTTTTTTGTACAACATGTAAACAATTCTTATAGAAAAATTACATTAGAATTGTTTTAAATGTCAAAGTCAAAGACCCCTTGATCACAAATCTCTTTGACAGTACATATTTTACAAATACTGTGGTTTTCAAACTTAATGACAAGTAACTTGTCAAAGACAAGTTTACTACGGTCAATTGTACCGTATGATCGAATAAGAACGGCGTCAGCGATGGCTATGAAATGAAGATCGCTGTCATTTTATATGTAAAATTATATTAGAAATGTCATCGATATATTCATTTCCTAGCTAACTGGACGCCACTTTTTTTCGATCATACGGTATTTGACACGTGAGGTAATTTGTCATATTCCCCTATCGATATAATGAAACTTATAAAAAAACAGAACACAAGAAGAAAAACATATACATTTACTAACACTGAGTATTGAGGTATAATTCTATTTTTCTATTCAACAAAATTATAAACGAAGAGATATGTAGATGATATATGTAGAATTCAGAATTCTTGGGAATGTAGCTCTCTTTTCGAATCATAAATTTAAAACTGCGTTTTAGAAAAGCTTTAAATCAATAGCGAACAGAAAGTTTTCGGCAAATTGTATCATAAACATTCGTGAAATATGGTCTTGAAAAACTAATCTTTAAGATATACTGGAATCGTTCTCATAAACATGAACTTTTTACCTATTAATTTACAGGTTTTGGAAAAATATCAACTTTGAATAATGCATTAAAAACATTAAATAATTTAGATATGTACCGACCAATAGAAAAAGGAGAATTATGTTAATTAAACCAATTATTTTATTGACATTGCTAGCATATGTTTTTAATAAGCTATTATTGGGGTTTAAAAAATAATTAAAAGTTTGATCAAAATCAAATTTACCTACTAGATAGTTTTCAAAAATTATGTTTACTTTCAACTCCGATATCTCAAAAATTAATTGAACCAATTATAATTTAATTCTAGTACTGCAAAGAGAAATAAAGAAGATTTTCAAAGATATCCCACAGGAGATTTTCAGTAATTAGTTCATATCATCATATTTAACAAAAAGTTGTGGTAAGTACTCTATAAAGTGTGAGAAAGTTTAAAATAATTCAAAAATTACTTCATTTTATTCCTCTTCAATCTCCCGACATGTCTTTAACATATTAGATTGGTGCTTTTCAAATTGCCACCCTGTATGTTTCTTATACAGTTTAATTGTAGTTTTATTGATATGTGGTTGTTTTTGTTTTACTTTTGATAAGAATGTCGTAGTTAAACTGTTTTTTTATCAGCAAATATGTACTTTACTTATGAATTAATATAGCCTTGTGGCTTTACTTTGGGAAAACTCGGGGAAAATTAATTCTGTATTTTAAATATGTATAATTTAAGCTGTGAAAATTTTGATACTTTTTATTAATTATTATTTACTTATTTTCATCTTTTGTTGTAAACTGGTAAAGTAAAACAGTAAAAGTAAAGATTTCAGTTAACGTCTCCTTTTTGCTGCCAGGGCTAATCTGGACGGGACCTACTTTGTTTACGCGGAATCCGAACCGCGGTCCTCGGCCATATCATGGTCAATGGCCTACCGACTTGGCAAGTGTCTAAATCGACTCTTACGAGATATCCGATCTCATCCGGCCTAGAACCGGCGTGAATGAGCAGTGTGTGTCAATAGATTTTACACTCGCCTTTATTGGACAACAGCACGATACCAAACGATACAGAGTTTCCAACCGGTCACCCGTCCATCCACTAGCATCGCCTTACGTCGCTTAACTTCAATGTTCTAATGGGAACAGGCGTTTCGACGTAGCTGGGCCGTTGCCCTAAACTGTAAAGTATTGTAGGTAACTGTTACTGTAGTGTGTTTACTGTAGACACTTACTACTATTTTCGAAAAGATAATATGAGAATATACTATAATACTAAGGTATTAAAAAATTGAATTAGATCACAGACTAACTTATTAGTATGTGATTAGATAATGTATATTACAAGAACATATACAAATAAATCGTCTATAAAACACAGCAATATAAACTGAATTTAGTTGCTTTCACTGACTGCTAGTACTAAGTACTTTAGGGACATAAAAATGCAATTCAACAATTAAAATTACAATAGCATTTGAAACAATAGCAATAAAGCTATGAAACACATAATATCAACATTTTTTATATCACATTTCAGTACTAAATCTTATCAAATATAAACTGCATTGTACAACTGCTTCTGAAATTTAAAATGTACGGAAAAAATAAGTGGTTTATTTAAAATCCTACCTTTCTCATATAATGTATATATGATATTTGTTCTCATATGATGTATATATTTGTTATTATATAGTCTAATTTTAGTTTTATTACTATGTAGACTATGTAGGTGTTTATTTTTCGTTGTAAAGTAAAACTAAAACTACGTCAGCAAATTTGTTTTTTTTATGATTTTATTTGTCGGATTGTTCAAATTTCTATGGCAAATAGATTTTGTATTTTACATATTAATATTTTTTTATGTTTATTATTTTATCAAATTACAATTAAGAAAGTGCATCCTGGTCACAAGAAGGTCAGAGCCTTCTAGTATTGAGTGAGATGATAAAGACATAAAAAACTAATGAATATTGCAGTTAGGGTTGGAACCTTTGGTGTTACAACAGCAAACTAAAACACTAATTCATCACAATACACCAAAACACTTTGCTTTTAACACTGTATAGGGGTTTTGCTAACCATGTTAGCATCATCGCAAGATGATTAAAACCAAATAGTAAAACTCAGTATTAATCGAAACCTGAAACTGAGTTTGAATCATATACTGCCGGTGCTAGTATGGTTAGCCAAACGCGCGATCAGTGTTAAAAATAAAGTGTTTTGGTGTATTGTGGTGTTCATTAGGTAGTGTTTTATGTTGCTGAAGTAATGAATACATTGAAACTATCCATTTCTACTAACACTAGTAGTTTGAAACTAGAACCCAATATCAATCATGGAGCATGGACAAATCCAAAACACATTGAATCAGAAAATGCAAATATTTTGCAAAATTCAGGACTTTTGATTTTGCCTAAATGCTTTAGACTGTTAGAATTATTTTTAGTTGGAGGTTTAGAAATATTAAAATAGCACAAATAGAATAGCTCTTTATGAAAAACCTGTTTATATCAAACCCAAATAATCAGTCGACCTAAAAATGTGAATTAATAAGTGATGTCCACACAATAAACTTCAAAATTTATTTTTTTTGGAAAATATTTATTTAACATAAAATTCATATAATTTTACATAGTTTTTCCTCTAAACAGTGTATATATAAAACACTGGTATTGAGAATTAAATAAAATAAAATAAAACGAGTATTCTGTTTACAATAATTTAAATTTACTTAAATCAATGGATTTGAGTAATAGTTGTTTTGGTTCACCTTATAAAATCTGAAAATACCTTTGTGAGGATACGCCAAATCGAAAAATTTTATACAAAAAACACTCTCATTTTTAAAAATGCAATATCATTTATTTATTTACACCCTAAATTCTTCTTTGCAGGTCAATAACACCACTGCATTAATATACCCTTTGACAAAATCTTCCGAACTTAAAATCAATACCTAAAACCTAGAAACATTTTATCTTTAATTCTTAATTACCTTATTTCACCTACGTTCTAAAGAACGAAAGCATCTAGAACGTCATACTACAACACAGGTTACTTATCAATATTCAAATCACCACCTACCTAGCTTCTTAATCCACTTCCATCGATAATGAACATATGTGGTACCACTTGTCCCCCTTTGCATATTACAAAAAACCACCATTTAATAACATAAAACCCCATTTAACAAAGTAATTATGATTTATCTCTCACTAAAAATAAGTTTTAAAAAAAAAATCGTACCTTTTGGTACTACCAACGACCCACGCACGTGCGGAAACGTCAAACTAGATCGCGTTTTGTTTTGGCGCTCGATATACGGTGCTATAACTTTAATCGTGTTACGGCAAATGGTACTCGCAGAGGTGGTACCCGACGCGGTTCCAAACGCGTACTGAGAGACGGTTATGACGTAGACCGTGACTTCGGTTCTTTTGATTGCGTTCTGGCGGAGGGACGAAGCTGCAGACCGCACAGAGATGGATTAACAGGATGTTTTTTTTATGTGATGGGTATCGGATGTCCAGCTCTGGTACTGTCAATGTTTTTTGTGTTTGTTATTTTATAAAGCAGTGTTATTACTAGGCTACTGTCAATAGTAGTTATTAATAATACTGACTAAAAAATGAAACATGCTTTCAAAGTCTAACATGTTTGTGATGATGTATTAAAATGGAATGATTGGATTGTTTATTCAAGTATTGCCTAAAGCTTTCTAAAGCTTTAACTTATTATAACCTCACCTCAAACCTTTGATATTTGAAAGTTACATACATATGACACATAAACTACGCCCTCTACATAAACTACATTAACTACATGTCATGTAGTTTATGTAGTTTTTAAAAGTAGCATGTAGTTTTCCGAACCCTGGTAGCAAGGTACAGCTTGCTATACTAGAGTCGTTCGGTATACAAGGAAGGTAATGTGGCTAGCACTACGCTTCAACCGCCTATTATTACCTCAGGATTGTGAATCCCAAGTACTCATCTCATTTAAGGCTGAGTCGACCTAGGTACCCAAACTATTTTTATTTTAATAAAAATAGTCGGCTGATGAAATGCCGGGTGTGGGAATCGAACCCACACCTTGAGATTGGTAGACGAAAGCCTGTAACTCTACGCTACCGGGCACCACAATGACTTAAGTCATTAAAACGATTTAAATCAAAAGAAGGCTTAACTTTTCTGTGAGCTTGCAGCTCTGGCTGTGGTCGGAATTTTTTGAAATCAACTAAGATGCACCAAGTCTAGTGTGGATCCACTAGAGATATGAAAGATATATGATATATCGTTTATATGAGGATATATACGATTTAAAAACGGTATACTTGAATCTTCTTATTAATAATATTTTTAATTAAATGATTACAGTGGAAATCCATCAGAATTTTATGTTAACATTAATGGAATTTTATGATTATGGCATAGAAAATAACAGCATATGGGATATATGTTAAAATAAACTTCATCTTGATAGAAGAGATGGAACACTCAGGCAATGCCAGTTTGTTTTGTATTTTATCGTAGTTGGCAAAATAAAATATATAAGTAAATTGGTAGTAATAATCAATTAGCAAAACAACCTTAGTCTTAAAGGCAATCATTAATTGCCTACGCACTTTTGTAAATAACTTAACATTTAAATCTACCTATAAATTTATAAAAAATAAACTACAAATTGGCATCACTTAATTTAAAGTTAAATTGAGAGGACCTAGAGATTGATTGAATTGTAGTAAACTACTTAAAATTATTGAAATAACTGAACGAGATTTCGAAACGATTGATTTTATTAGATAGATTTAATTCACCTGATTGAATGAATCAATATCTGATTTAATCCAATGATAAAATCTAGTAAATCTTTTACAAAAAGTATCAAATGATTAGTTGCAAGCTTTTTGTTTTTAATAATTTTCTCCATTTTCAGTAATTGCAGTAAAAACTACATCAATACGATCATGATTAAAAATATATAATATGAACAACTATAAAATTCCCTTTTAATTTTATATTCAATTATTTATTATTGCCATACTTACACTAGGTATATAAAGATTAAGAGAAAAAATTAAGAATTTATAATATTAAAAAATTAAGTACTAAAACAAATAAATTTTGAAATAATAGCGGTGGCTTTGATTTTAGTTTTTTTTTTAATTTCAAGCCAATTTGCTTATTTTACATCACATTTTTTTTAGGACCAAATTTTATTTAAACGTCTATATTGTTAAAATAATTTATAATGTTTTTTGTGTAATTAGTATCGAGTAGTTTTTTAGAAAAGAAAAAAATAACTTGATCTAGTATATTAATTTATTCATGTATTGCATCACACAAATATTACCAATATTAAATATTTTTCCTCTGATAAGATTATCTCTACAGTTTCAACGCAATAAATTGTGATATACACTTAATTTTTAACTTAAATAGATATTAGTTGTTAATTATCCTTCAATCAATATTAACGATTAACGTTAATGTTTAGTCAGTTTAAATAAATAAAAGATGGGTAAATACAAAAAAAGCAAAATAAAAACACTAATTCGCCACAGTACTCCCTGCTGATGATGACGACATGGTTAAGAAACGCGCGTCTTATTTTGTCTGACGAATATTTTAAATTAAAAAACAAATAAACTCAAGTAATACGGTTGGGAAACAAAAAAATATTTCAATAATAAAATTTATGGAGATAAAAAATTTACTCCACCCCTGTATCATATTTTCCGCGCCTTGTTTTATTGTCTTTTGTCTTCCGTTCTTCAGAAGGTAACTTTGTTTCCGGTTGGGGTTGGCAAGTTTAGGTGCTTCACCCACAAAGTCATCTTCATATGAATAAATCAGTATAATTAAACTGACTTTATACAAAGTGTAATTATATAAAAAAATAACACATCTAAATGCATTCTGCATAAAGTACATATACGTAGAATTCATAGAAATATTCTAGTTATCTAAGTTAATAAATCTCGTGTTTATGTATTTTTTATTATTCTTTTAGCATATGGAAGGTTATGTTAATAGAACTTTTGTTTTAATGGAAATGATGTCGAGAGATTTACTAATTTACATATTTAAGTGTAATTCCTTTTGCATTTCATGAAACGAGTAGTTTTACTAGTTTGTTTATATAAAAAAAATAGTTGATCCTTACAAAACCATTATTATTATTCATTTATTCATTATGCAATACAAGAATAACTAAACGTTCTCCAACCCAGTGTGAGTACATATCAATGTAAAATCTCTGACGAGGGGTAGGAGACTCAAAAAACTCACAATGTTTTAGGATGTTTATTTCAAAATTTAATTTGATTTAAAATTGGGGCGACATGTTTCGAGATTCATTTAATTCCCATCCTCAGGCCCAGAAAGACAAAAGTCAAACCACAGTTGGTTTCCTGGTGTGACTTTTTCGGAGCGAAGACGATTCTTATAAATCATAGACCATTAAAATCGGTCCATGCCATCCTTGAGTTATAAATGGTGATGTACCCGACTTTGTTTGGTTTATTTAGATTTAATTTTCATATGGGTTAATCTAGAAATAAGTACGTCTCATAATTAAATTAGAATAACAATAATCTCTAATATATTTTTTAGTTTTAAGACCTCCTAATAAAGAAACTAAAAACCCTTTAAAGTAACAATATGACATTGTATGATATTTTACTTTGTGATATAAACTAAAAATATAATAAGCACTTTTAATAGTTATGTATTCCAATAACACTACTGAGGATATGGTTTTACGATAATGTCATACTTTGATTCCGACAATACAGCTGTACGTTGTATACTTGCAAACAAATTGAGTACGTGTGTCGTGATCCTGGATTGGACCACCGTCGTCACCAATCTTGTAGTCGCTGCCACCAAATGTTGTTTAACTTGCAATAAATTCAGTAAACCAACTTTTTTCGGATAATCCAATATTTTCCATTCGGATAATATAATAACAAGGGTGCCAAATTTGAAATTTTTATAACTTTTCATTTAAGAGAATCTTCTAAACTGATTCACTACCACTTCTCCGCCTGATGTTTTTGAGAATAATTCGCGTTTCATTTGCCACGTCTGTTTTCGTACACATGTTGGCAGTCAGAACTCATCTGCCAGAAGGTCTCGATCGTTTTTATAAACACAGCATCAATGGAAATTATTGTAAGTCGACAAGCTGGTTATGAGTAGGCTGTCAGTAGGTGATGTGTCATTATCTAATTGGAAAAACGAAGTCATCTCAATAGCCTTTCTTCAATAAATTCTCAAATTATTGTCCATGAACTAACTGCCCCAAACAAAAATGAGACTCGTTTTGAACATTCGTGATTACTTTGGTGGAAATCATAATTTTTGTGTGACTTGATACATCCTTTGCCGTGTCCATTAATTACGTATAGCATTTTTTCCAGTTTAGAATTGCTGAAATAAGGGCTACTTTCTTCTTCTTCTTCGTGTTCTCGTCATGTCTGAAGAATTGTGACATTATGGCTATGTGCAGCTGGTGATTTTGATCTTCTATCGTTGGCGATCTTCCGCCTCTAGGATGATTGAAATGGATGATCTGTAATATTTGCTATTTGGTCAAGCCATCTTGATGGTGATCGTCCTCTGGGTCTTCGGCCTTCTACTTTGCCTTGTACTATGATTTTTTCAAGGTTGTCTTCGCCTCTGCGAGTAACATGACCGAAGTATTGCAGGATGCGTCTACGGCAGATGGGATGCCGAGTTCATTGAGAATTGACTGGTTCGTTCTTCGAGCGGTCCATGGGATACGGAGCATTCTCCTCCAGCACCACATCTCAAATGCATCTATACGGTGTCTATTACGCTCTGGACGGTCCATGACTCAGACTCAGGGCTACTTTAGTTGAAATCAGTTATGTAAGAAATATTTGTTTATTTATAGGACTTGGAAGGGGGATCTTTTCAAATAGTAAGTCACAAAAATTTTTCTGCGGGAATGTATAATTTCAGTTTTTCAACTTTAGAATAGCTGAAACCAGTTACATGCAAACACGTTTCTGTTTTTCATTCTAGAATTTTTTCTAAACATAGACACGTAAAAAAACTTCTTGCGGAAGTGTACCATGTTATTGGTTTATTTTTGATTATTTTCATTTTTTTTCGGTACAATATTCATGTCTAAATTACAAATTACAGTATCTATACTAGATTAAGTCGGAAAAAAGAGAACGATGCATTTCCACAGAGAAATTTTTATAATTTTGTGTTTGGGGAGGCTTCTATATGTATATTGTATGTTTTGTTGTTTTTTATAAGTGATTTCAAGTAAAAAAACTTCACCCCCCTTACATAATTACATTCCTCCTTTTAGAAATTTTTGCCATTTAAAT